TATCGACATTTTTGATCTTATAAATCTTATATTCATGTGTACTTTATTCATTGAAGTTAAGTGGTAAGTATTATTATAATAGCAGAATAAAAGTACGATAGTAAAAATATCAAGTATTCAAGTTATGGTAACTATTTTTTTTCTAAAAAAAATTCAATATTTAAAATATTTTATATTGAAAAATCATGAAAATTCACGAAAACGCAAAAGCATAATAATTGTATAAAAAGTGGTAAAAAATTTTTGTCTTAAAGGGAAAAAAGGAGCAAAAATATTCCATTTCGATTTTACTAAATTGTATCACGCGCCTCACGTGTGATTTGTTTCTAATGTATTGATTCATGTTGTGAACAGAAAAAATATTAAATAATAACTAAAATAAAGTAAAATTGTGTTAAAAAGAAAAAAAAATGTTGATTTGATAATTATATTACTATATTTTAACTAATAAGACTTTTGATCAATTGATTTAATAATTTATATAAAATGTACTTAGAATTGGTTAGTTTCATGTGTTACCTAGACCAGTTAAATCTATCAAATTATTACATCAGTTATGAAAATTACTTTTATGTCGACCTATGATTATCAAAAATTTGCTCTACGATATAATATATTGACCTATTATATATTACATATTACATTTTTAATTGTTTTGCATTTCTAATATTATTTAAAAATTATTTAGTGTCTTAATTTAAAATTTATAATTTAATCTTTTCTTCTTTTTTTTACTTTAAATACGTACTTCTTATATTTGCAGTTATTATTTATTTATTTATATTTTGAATTAATCACATATTTTAAATATTCGTTTATGTTTTATTTAAAAATATCAAAATTAAGATATACCATAACATTTTTGTTAGCATTTATTTATCATTTTTTCTGTACAAGTAAAGTTATTTGTATTAGTAAATTTTAAAAATACTTAACTTATATATTTACTCGTATTGATTTTTATTTAGTATATTTTTACAAAATTATTATTATTTTTTTTTTTTTTTATGTAAATAAATTTTACCTTAACTTGTTTTTTTTTTAACTGGATAATGTAAATATTATTTTTTTACATAATGTTCTTATTTGAATTATTATTCTTTTATTCAATAGATTTAGTTTTTTTTGAATCATTTAAATTAATAATTAATTCAAAATATTTTTAAATTTAGAAAAAAATAATATTTACGCGTTTTAGTATTTTTGAACATATACTGTAAATGTATGTATTTTAACAAGTTGTAGCATACGCATAAGTCCCCAATAAGTCACATGATTTTTTTTTTACATTACCCGTGTTACATGTTACCAAATGGTTATCGAACATAATTAAAACAATTAGTTACGATAAAGCTGGGATTTGTACAATATCAGACAAAAAAGTGATTACCGCTCGACGTTCGAGGAAAATATATGATGTACGTCCAATACTACACCCACACAGTATACGTAATTGCACATAGCATTTGAACAATATTATTCATGTTCAGCTGATTGGAAACTTCCAGGAAAATTAGATAAGAAAAAATTAGAATTTTAAATTAAAAAAAAATAATGCACATAGATATTTGTTTTGAAACTACGTTTGTTTTTTTACGGATAAAATCTAAAATAAGTTTTCAGATCCATATCCTCAGGAATATAAATATTAGGTCACGATTGAAAGTGTGTTGCATAAGTAGGTACTTATTATTCAAATAAATTAAAATGTACTATGATTAGTAACTATGTAGATTATACAGTGAATTTGTCAGCGAGTAACAATAATATTAATATTGTACACATTCAATAGCATTCTCAAAATTTTCAAATAGAATGGAGTGAACTTCTTTTGTTTATATTAATTTTAAACACCCATCATACCGTATTGCAATATTAGGCCCGGCTCAAGGGGTAGGCGACATAGGTCCACGCTTGGGGCAGCATTTTTTCTGGACAATATTTATGTATAAAAAAAAAATATTTGATAAAATATTTACACGTAAGGGGCGGCAAAAACTAAAGTTAATTACTAATTAACCTGTGCAATATAATATATTTACCTACTTTTTACTCTAACTGAATTGACTAAATACTCATGTACATCTACAATACGTATGCACAGTGGCGTATTTACGAGTGGGGGGGGGGGGGGTACAGGGGTACTGGACCCCACCCAGAACCTCTTCAAAAAATAAAAAATAAACTAAAATTCTTACATATTTGCAGAATTGGCTATGTTAAACATTCGTAGAGAAGTTAAAATTACAGTTAATGAAGTGATAGAGGAGTTGGCCAAAAAATCGAGACAACTGGAATTTATTTTATAACAATACTTTATAATATATAATGCTAAATACAATATATGGGTATATATATATAGACTATACGATTATTACATTATATACTTAGTTCAACTTCCTCCAAAATTTGCATAAGGACGTAACTATTACAATATAATATATAGTGTATATTAATTATGTATAAACTGTGGACCCCCCAAAAAAAAAAATTGAAATTACGCCACTGCGTATGCATCACTTTTGAATGTCGATACTGAGCCGATGGGTCATAAATATTATTTTAGCATGAATAACTATAGCCGTCCTAAGAGGAGGGGGCAAATGGGCAGTACAAAGCATTATGAATTTAGGTGTATCATAAAAATTAATAATAATAATAAAAATTAGGTTTTTTATTTTAGATATTTTTCTTTTATACTCAAATATCTGAGTATCTATAAAATTGTACAATATATATCATTAAATATGAAATTATGTAAATAATATAAATACTGTGTCTACGTATATAAATATTACCGTAGGATAGAATATAACTGATAAATTAATAATGATAATTGATGATCTCAAATTATGACTTTATAAGTATTGTATAAGTAGTAGATACCATATACCATAGTATATTTACTTGACTTTATATTATGATGAATAATATATGTAAATCATAATTACCAAGATTCGAATTTTATATCATTGAAAAGTACTGAAATATGTACTAAATTATAATATGACCAAAAATAAAATGTTGAAAAGGTTAATCAATTTATATATTATCCTTTACAGATATGGTTTTAAAAAACTAGGTAAATAAATACCTATATAATTATCAGATAGCAGGTGTTGTCAAATATCAAAGGCCATTATAACATTATAACTGATTTACGTGCATTAAAAATAATAATAATCTAATCTAACCGATAATAACAAAGCAGATACTCTTATGGAAACCTAAAAATCTGTAACAATGTTTCCTGATATTGAATTTATTTTAAAAATAATATGTATTATACCAGTCACAACAGCGACTTTAGAACAATCATTTAGTTCATTGAAAATAATATAAGCCTATTTAAGATCTACAATGATTTAGAATAGGTAAACTCAATGGATTATCGATACTTCATATTAATAAAGATATAGCTTTAACTCTAGAAGATGTATTGGATATATTTGCGTAAAAAATATTACAAACAGAAAACTTTTACAAATTAGATTTTTGTAATTGTTAGATATTAGCAGGGGGGGCGATTGCAATGAAAAAACTGGGGGTGCTGAAGCCCTATCTTTTCCATGTTCCTTATTGGTTCACCCACAACCCGTACAGTTCAACAGTTACTAAAATGTTTGGTAAATATTTAAATATGTTTAAATTTAACTTGTTCACTTTAACTACTAGACTTACCACTCGTTCCGGTGTCCCGACCGATCATTCCGTTTATCCTGGTTAATAGAAGCCGAGAGAAAATAACATTTAAAATTATATTATTTAACAATAATTTAATTAATAATATATTATATAATTAATAATTAATATTTAATAATAAAACAGAATAATATATTATTCAGTATACTGTACATTATATTATTATGGTATAGTTATGTACAATAAAAATATATTTTTATATTAGTCAATAAATATTTAAATTATAAAATTATATAAATATATTTTGTTTAAGTTTAGGGATTTAAAAATCTGGTAACCCTACCTATTAGTATTATCCAATTCGAGTACCGAAAAAACAAAGGACGAACTTCCACCACCACTATTTAAATAATAAATTTATATATTTATACAATAAAAACTCTGCTTTTCTTTAAATAATGATCAATGAGTATTTAAATGTAAATCAGCATGAACACATTTGGGGGTACTAAGCACACCTAAGCACCCCCTTAAATTGTGACTATGGGCAGGGGCGGATCCAGAGTCGGGGAACTATGGGTCAAGCCATTTCTAGAAGCCATTTATTAGGGATGAAACTGAATTAGAAATTAATACATTGTAAAAAAAAAAAAAAAAACACAATATGCTCATAAAAGTGTACAAGTATATTTATATTACATTTTAGAATTAGTGATACCACTGATAATGACTTATTTACGATTAATAAATATAATCTAATTTTATCAGCGCAACAAACGTATATAATAAAATATGATTTACTTAAATTTCTACTAAAACAATATAATTTAAAATATAAATTATGAATTGAAAAATTTTAAATTTTGAATATACATGGCATTCATTTTTAAAGTAACTGCGATTGGCCAATTGTCCAAGAGTTCAAATCAAGGTCTAAAAAGAGAAAAAAAATTTCCAAGAAACCAATTTTGTCAACAAATATTAACTGTGGGTCAGCTGACCCCTTGAACCCCCCCCTAGATCCACCCCTGACTATGGGTATTAGCATATGTTTTTTATTTAAATATTTTATAATTTATAATTATTTTACTATAATATAGGTAGGTAAATAATGTGCCCCATCCCTTAGAAAAGTTCTGGATCCGCAGCTGCATTCCATAACACACATTTAACCGGATACTATTCGAATAGATATTTTGAATACATTTTAATAGAATAAAAATACGATGTAAGTAATGGCATAACACTGTGGACGCTAGACACCAGCAACTAGTGTCCAGCCCGCCATTATCATAAGAACGTAACTCCGATGATAACGTGGCACTACCGCCACCGAGCTCTTTCCGTCGTCGCCGTGATAACTCCCACCGTCGTCACCGTTATCGTTAACGTTTGGAACGCGTAAACAAAACGTTTAACAGTCGTTCGCATGTAGCGGCAGTTCGATGTTATTCGCTCGACAATATCAACACAGCTAAATCAACAGTAATTTAATGTACGTCTACGTGCGAATATTTGCATTGCACCATTACACCGCGTGTAGAACTTAACAACCAGCTCGTCTCCGTCAGCTGATTTTGATGTGAAACTATATTCCTACGTGTTCTTTGAGTTTCCATTTTTCTGTTCGTATCGTAATGACGTGGTTCGTTGATCGCTATTACTGTAACTCCGTGAGTCGCCGTACGTTTTCTGCGGTACAATCATCAACTCCGCTAAAAAAATCATCTTCTTCGACTGGTCCGCCTCGGTGTGCATTCGCATTACCACCAGTGTTTGGGTTTGAACGCAAAATCAACTGGAACGTCAGGTTCTTGTCCTACTATTGATATCAGCAGTGTCCCAACGTTGCGATGCTCATCATGCACGGATTTGACTATGAGTATGCGCTCCGCGTATCTGCTTCAGCGTGCACCTGCGCCCAGTTCTTGTCCGGATTGTAAGTTTATAATTTCAATCACAATTATTACTTATGCGTTAAATATTTATTACTTACAGTTTGATATGCATCGATTTTATGAAGAAAGGCAAAGTTTTAAATGAATCTGTTATTCCATTTGTTGCTGGATTCCTGTCGTGAGTAGTTTCTATGAAAATGTTCTATATAAATTGCATGTTCCCATTTTTCGATTTTATAGTTATCTAAGCTATTCGCCTTAATATTATATGTCGGTTGTTGTAGATGTTCATTGTGGCTGTATTACGGTATGATATTGGCCAACAGCACATTGGTATCTGTGAATGCATTTGGTTGTCTATTGTTTGCTACATACACGTGGATATATTATAGGTACACATCAAAAAAAGTAAGTCATACTTAATGAATATTTTTAATAGTTCTATTGGAAATATCTATGCAGGTCCGGCTCAAATGTTTACTTATATCCTAACAAACTTTAGTTTTACCGCCCCTTATATGTAAATACTACATCAAATATTTTTTTTTACATAAACAATGCTAAAATAAATTTAATTCCTAGTTCATTATATTTATTTTTCAAAAGTTAAAAATTGATTAAATCAATACATTTATAGACAAGTATACTATTACTAATTCAAATAAAACAAAACAATGTGTAGAGTCTTATTTTTTACAACAAATAATTTTATATGAATAGGTACTAATAATTATAATCATTTTTTAAAAATAATCTGTAGTGTTAAAATGTTAAATACCACCTTAGGTGTAAACCTATGTCACATATCCCTTGAGTTAGGCCTGTATCTATAGTTTAGTTAAAACATAAATTTTTAGTAAAATATATTTTGGAAAATGTAGTTTTTACAGAATAATAGCAATAAAAATTATTATTTTCAACCACGGTAAACATAGTTTTTTAACAATACTAGTAAGAAGAAAAAACTGTCTAGAATACTGTTTTCTTAGTTTTTCATGTAGCTTAATTTAACAATTTAATCTAATCATATTACTAAAATTTAACAATAGTTCTCAAATGATACAATAAAAATATTAACATCAATCAGGATTTGTGCACGTCTAATAAAATTTGACTTTAATAGCTTCTTATCATTATTTATAGAATACATGTTGATGTGTATTTGGAGGTCAATTTAATGTTTACTATTAATACTCTTATTTAAATTAAAAAAGTGTCGTTTAGTTAAAATTTATTTTTTTCAGAAATAATATTGATGGACTCATACATTAATTTATTGTATTCAACTATCATACACATCAATTCAGTAGGTATAATGTTAATAGAAAGTTTTCTTTAGACTTAAAAGGAAGAAAGTGAAACTATAGAACAAAACTTAAAAACTATAACCTCATGAATAGGTATTTGACAAACAAAATTCCATTTTTTTTTTTTTTTAGATAGTACCTTTATTTTACCAAAATGGTAATATCATACAATTAGCATCAACATATAGTAGTAAATTTTTTATTATTATATTGTGAATTTTAATATTTTCAAAGAATAAACAATTTAATACAATAATTGTTTATTTATTTAACTAAACGGTTGGTGTCTTGGTAAAGTAATGTGGTGTAAATTAAAATTATTTAATTTGAAAATTTCTACGAGAAATAACAATTATCTTAACTGAATATTATTTATAAATAAATTACAACATTTATTTTATATAAAGGTTCAACATTTAAATAGTTAATAAATAATGTGCTACTCTGGTTATTCTGGTACATCCTCTGTATATCAAATAGTTTTTAAATAATAATAATCTTTGATAATTTTTTTTATTATTTATTGATTTTCACTGCTTTGGGGGAAATAAGATTTTATATTTATTACTTTTTTAAGATTTCCTATAATCATTGAAAAATCTATGATATATAACATGATTCCCTATAAATTTGGGTGAAAGTATGTCAAGTTTATATGCTGTATCTAGATATAAAAGTGGTACTGTATTAATATACAATTGTATTTAAATTTTAATTTAAAATAAATTAAATAATAATAATCAATACATAATAGTAATGGGCACTTATAAACCCCTAAAGAATTGTAAATTCCCCTAAAAACATTTTACTACTGAATTAAACATATGTAAACTCTCTTAAGAACATATCGATACTCATTTTTATGTATGTAAACTACCCTAAACTTAAAATAAAAACTTTCCATTAACAAATTTCCGTTTAACGTCATTTTATGTTTAACAAAATATTTTTTGTCTCTGTACAACGAATATGATATTTCTATACAATAAGTAAACTGTTTAAAAATAAACCTTTTTTTGTAGAATATACTAATACATTATGCCACTGTAAAATATGAAATATTATTTTAAAACTCTACAATTTGAAAAGGTGGATCATATAATAAGTGTTCATTATACATATATGTAAAGGTAGGTAAATGTTGTCGCAAAGACAACCAATAAAATCAAACGAGCGTGCACTTGATAAAACATCATTTCCAAAACTTGTTCAATAATTGAATGCGCCCTACACAGTCAAATGTTATTGTTGGGTAAGATTGCTATACTATACTATATACATGAGACACAACCGTGATAAAGATAATTTGGATCGAGTTTTAACTATTTTCATTTCTTACTTTCTCAGATGATCAAGTATATATCTGTCATATAGTACCATTTAGTAGCAATATGTTTCAGTGAAATTTAAAATGTTTATATACGTATAATTCCATAGCAAAGTATTTTTAGGGGAGTTTACATACAAGTAATTCAGTAATAAAATTATTTTAGGAAAGTTACTATTGCATTTTTTAGGAGAGTTTACAATAGCCCAATAGTAATATACTAACTACTATACATAATATAATATAAAATTATTTTTACTAATAAATTACTATTAATATTTTTAATTTTGTTATTTTTGAGCAGTTAACTTCTTGGTTTGGTAAGGTTTTTAGTGTCATCAAAAATATATAGCAATAATGAATACTTAACTTTTTTTTTTACATAATAACATATCTTTATTTGATGTTCTAGAAACGTGTCTTGCATTACATGGTAACAGCTATAGTTATCATTATATGGATTGTGTACATTACTGATGTTGATGTACACCAAGAGTCATTAAATTCCCTGACACCAGCAGAACTATACAAACTTGAAATCAATGAAAATGTGGCAGTAACATCTTTGGATTCAAAAAAACCCAACCCTGTCATAATTTCAACAACTACTAATGATGCTATAGACCGTGTTGGATTTTTATGTTGTTTAACAACCATGTTATTTTTTGCAGCACCATTATCCAATTTAGTGAGTAATATAATACCTTACATCACATGTTCACTATATTTTAGAAATTATTAGGCTTTATTAATTATTTGTAATTATTTTAGATACATGTAATCAGAACAAAAAATACAGAGTCAATGCCCATGCCATTAATCGTAATGACATTCCTTGTTTCGGCTCAATGGTTGGTCTATGGAAAAATGTTACGTGATAAGTTTATTATGGTAATGTATTAGTAATTTTAGATTATTTAAATAATAATTAATTCATCATTTCTTAGTTAAAATAATCATATCTAATTTAATAAGTATTTTTGTATACTTAACATTTTTTGTGTATTTAAAATTATATTTACATCTTATTATTGCAGTATCCAAATGCTGTTGGCTGTGTGCTTTCTGTGATCCAACTAGGTCTATTTATTGTATATCCAAGGAGATCTTCTGTAGCATTAGTCACTGACCACATCAATCAACATCCATATCCCTATATTAAATTGATGGATGCATAAATGTACAATTTGCTTTGGCAATATCTAAAAGTCCTATTTAAAGACTATTATTGTTGCTATCTTTATGTGGTGTTGTATTAATATAATAAGTTCAATACAATATTTCTAACATTCCATTACAAGTTAAATAGTTATTATTATTAATGAGTATGTTAAATGCTACATTTGTGATATTTATTTTAATTTAATTAAAATTCTATTGAATTTCCTTGTGATTTGACTATGAATATTAATATAAGTGGTAAATTATGTTGTCAAATGTTTGTATAAATTTGTTTATCAATGACTGTTTTGTTTTTATTTTGATGATTTTTTTTTTTTTTTTTACATAAATATATAATTGTTTTATGTTCCCTCCTAATTTTGTATTAGTATTTAATAAGCACTACTACTGTTCCTTCTAGTGTTTGGTTGTGGCACACTGAAATACCTCTATTTTTTAACCATAATTTTGTGAATATGCATAAATATATTATTAAGTAAATATAATATATATAATGAAAATAATACCAAAAGTATTTAGAGACAATAAGTATTGAATATTAATTATTTATAGTACATTAGTATTGTTGTTTCAAATGTTTAATGTTTAAATATAATTTATTTATATAAGCATACAATTATATACATTTTAAATTAAGAACCATCAATGAATAGTAATATTTTGTAATACAAATCACTGTTATTATTTTAATTGTTTAAATTTAAAAAAAAAATCCTTTTTTTTTTTTTTTTTTAACTAGACAGTAATATTTATGTTTAAAGCAATCAGAAATACAAATAAAGAAGGAAAAATGTAAGAGGTTAATTTGTATTGTATATTTTTATTTGTGTATCTAATTAGTTTTTAAACATTTTTTTAGTAGATTAATAATAAAATAACAATAAGCTCTTTGTGTGATGTGAAATAAGGCATACTTGTGTTGTATAATGCATGTGTAGATTTTAGCCTTAAGATGGATTAAAATATTTTATATATGATTTAATCATCAAATTACAGCCTGTGTAATTTGGACTATAGAATAATCTATAATGGGAAAATAAAGCAATGAATCTTATTATAAAGTATAATAAAATATATTTTATCCAGGTCAAATTGTTGTTTTAATAACCATAGATTTTTCTATTGCCTCTTATGATACGAGATTATAATTTGAATTGTATTGTAGTGATTTAGTAGAACTGTAGTGACATTTCTACTATTTAAGTTCATTACTAATTTTGATCTATAATTTTTGTTTATTAAACAAGCACATAATTTCATTCTGTATAGTCGTATGTTGATGATTTATTCTAGGGTTATTATGATATTCATAATATTTTATATAATATTCATATATTTTATATTTTTTTTGAATAATAAATGCATATTTAAAGAAAACATTTTAAATTTATGAATATTTTATAGCAAATTATTAAAAAATATTTTACAGAAATGTATAGAAAAATTTCCTATTATGTCTTGTTTGAAATAATAAAGTAACACATTCAGAAAGTTAATTAAAATAATGAAAAAATATTCATGTACTTTTAAATTTGTATTTTTCCTAAATTTAATTAAAAATGAAACAATAAAGTAAGCAGTAAAAATCTGAAATTAACATTTATTTTTTAATTTGCATTCATTATTGAATAAAAAAATTTAATTTTAATATTAAATTTAATCACTTAGGTATATACTTCTTATTTTTAATTGAAATTAAAACAGAATACAATGGTTATTCAAATTCATCATTAACTACTAACAGACTTGAGATTTGTTCATTGAGTTACGCCATAAGCTAAAATGCACATTTTCCAATTTCACTAAACTCTGTTGGATTTAATAAATCAAAACTGTAACTTTTTTTCTAAAATATTTAAATACACCATAATTCTCTTTCATTACCAAATTGTATATAAGTTCTTACAAATGACTTATAAAATATTCATAAAACAACATAATGTTACTAAATAATTTAGTTTTATTATAAGATATGTGTTTTCAAAGAGTTATGTAGATATGTTATTATGTACCTATGTTATTGCACGGAATATTATTCTGAAATAGTTGTACATTTTATCAGGGCCGTCGTAAAGTTTAGTGGGACCTGGAGCAACTTAACGCATGGAGCCTATATAGTGGCAAACCAAGGGTGATTTCGGGGTTTTAACCCCCTCCCCCACCCACCATCTAATAAAATAAAATTATATTGGTTTAAATCAAATATTAGAAATTCACACATATTTTTTAAACTACGAGTTTAGAAAATAATTAAAATACAAAAATTCTACGTAACTTGTTAGAAGAACTCATGGCTTCAATTTATATGTATAATTTAATATCTTTTTTTTCATTGTATAAACTCTTTCCTCTTAAGTTTTTTTAAATATGTACAATAACAGAATCAGTGACGTATGCAGAAAAAAGTTTTGGGAGGTGTTTTTGAAAATCAGAAATTTTTTTCAATAAACAAATGAAATTTTACTACGAAAGACTTGTAATATACTTACATTACTTTTTTTTGAATATAAATATATATCATATTAAAAAAAATCACAAAACTAAATCTAATTTTCGTGAAGTTTTATTTAACCATTATGTTAAGAATATCTTCTCAATTAATTTCTATGTCTCTATGTACATTTAACAATGTTAATCCGTTTAACCTTTCTTCGCCTGTTTTATTACGTAAATACGTTTTGAACCTACGAAGCGTTCACTAGTAGCTATGGATACTGGGAGAGTAGGTAAGTAAGATAGAAATTAATTTCAAGATATTACGAAAAACATCAAAAATTTCAAAGCATATTTTTGAATAATTCTTAATTTTTAGATTTCAGAGCTCTTTGCATATTTGTCCGAATGAACATTTTGTATAAAAAAGTAAAATAAAAGTGCATATTTTCAAGGCAATTTCTCTTCTTTTTTAAGCGCATAGTGCATGTATATTTAGTACATTTTAAGAAAAATTTCGAGCCCAAGAGATAATGTATGTACATTGTACAGCAATGTCAAAAACTTAAAAATTAGTATTAAGATTTTTATCAAGCATAACTCACCAAATATTCTAAAACCAAACATTTCGGGGGGGAGGGGGTGTTTGAACACCCAAAACACCCCCCTGTGTACGTGCCTGAACAGAATACACAACTGTACAAGTACTTAGGTAGGAATAGTGTTTAATATAAATTATTACTTACTAATTATAAATTATACGGTTCTTTTTGCTGAGGGTTCAATCGAAAAGTGAAAAAACAACAGTTAATACCTACTCAAAATTAATATTTCATATTTTTACGGTAGAATACCATGTTTGATGTTATTGTTTAAATCTGTGTTTATCGCGGCCGGTTTACGATACCGCGCCGCACAAATATTTAGAATTATTATTCTTAATAAAATATTTATTTTAGAGATTGCGCGCCGTATTTCTAAGGATTATCATTAATTATAATTTATAAGTATTTTTTGTTAGGTTATTACATTCAGACGCTATTACCCAGATAGCAAGATAACATTTTTTAATCGTTTATATGCTATTATTTTTTTAATGATGAGATAAATTAATCATTTAAATTTCATCATATTTTAATTAAATAATATGATATTAATGTTTATATATTGTTGTTTGGCCACCCGTTTGAAATTAAATTAACGTCAAAAACATAACATAAATATATTGTTATTTTTAAAATTATAATTTAACCATAAAATTGTATTATTTTAGAAATATTGTTTCTCTAGCATACTATAATTATTAATAATATAACATTAAAATATTATTATTTTTAAAATGATAATATAACCATAGAATTGTAATATTTGGGAAATATTGTTTACCTTACATACTAAAATTATCAAATATCATTTCTCCAAATGGTTAAGATTGTATATGCTGTTTTTTTATCTATAGTTTTAAATTTTATATACATATATATAGGCACAATTGGAGGGGAGAGGTTGATAATTATTTTTTAATTAATATAATCCTCACAATTCATTTAATTTGTTATTAGTTAGTACTTGTATTTTGTTAATAAAATAAAAAGCACTAAAATATGTGATTATTTTTTAGAAAATGGTAGGGAAGGGAAAGATACTCAATATTACTCATTATATGTATTCCATGATCATATGAGTTAGTGAGTCACTGAAATAATTTAGCACCTCTAAATGTTGATTGAAATGGCACACCTGTGCATTATTTATTTAAATAAATTTCAATAAGTATAATAGTATGTTATAAATTATGATAAAATATATATTATAAAGGAAATATAAAAACTTGAAGGACGACAAGAATTCTAAATCAATTTTTTTAATTTACTTGATGAATTTTATTGTATTAATAGGAATTAATATTAGAACATAATTTAATTAATTATACTATTATTAAAAAACAGTAGATATATTATCCAGCTTCTTCTTTGGCTCCCGGAATTTAGCTCCAGAAATAAATGTTCTTATGGGAGTTTCAATATCCACAGAATCACATAACTTAAACTTTTTAATTTCTTTTATAGCATCTGAAAATAATTAAAGTCAATTGAAATGGATAATATACTATACTTTATATATATATACATACTAATTATAATATATTGTATCATCATGGCATGTTGCTTTTTTTTTCATTATATTATACTTATTTGCTATAAAGAAAGTTGTATTTATTTTATAATTAACACATTATTATCAAATAAAAAATTAAAAGAAACACACCTCATGGTGATATGGTAATATATATTGGTGTAGAAATATTTTTTGATAAATATTAAGTTAATTGATTCACTTATTTGACCTAATGGTGGCACAGTCGATTTATTTACACTGAGGAAGTCATAGAAATACATACTTTGACAGGTGAACATAAAACAATAAATTATATTTATAATTGTCCCAATACCTATTTTTTATTGAGTTAGTTTGAAATATTCATTAGTAGAAATATTCATTTTATAAAATAAAATAATAAATACTATTCTGCAAATTAAATTAACCATTTGTTAATGTACATTGTATTATATAATATTTGTTGACTTATTATTAGATATTAGCTAGCATTTTTCAGTGTTAAGATAGTAACCATAATGTGCTAGTTCTAAACCAATGTCTAACTGCTAATACTGATATTACAGCTAGCATTGTGTCCAGTATTATACCCATATGGGACAATAGTCAACTGTTGGGTTAGGTTAGATGGTACAGGCGTAAAATTCTTTATTTTATATAATCGTATAAGCGGTAAATCTAATAAAAATGTTAAGTTAAAAATAAA